CCTCTCTCTTTCTCTCTTTCTCTCTCTCTCTCTCCCTCTCTCTTTCTCTCCCTCTCTCTAACCTATCATCTCGACTCCCTCGCTCTCTTTTACCCGCCCACATTTTTTCATCGACTTGTATGACTCAGTTTTGCTACCCCTTTCATCATCCATTGAATGCATTTTCTGGTTTATTTGCTCCGCACACTGTGAAAGAGTCAGTGAGAAATTCGCTACCCGCGCGTTTTTAAAGCATACACAAACCTACCGTTATTTTGCGAAGCCAAATCGAATTAGATAGTAACCGGTTAAATGCAATAGGTGGCCATTCGCAATGGAAAATCAATAGTTTGCGGTTTATTGCCTATAATCACAGCTATATCGCTAATTCCTGCACCCGTGGCCGCCCTGGTTTCATGATTCTTCATAATATATTAAACACTCGGAGCACATTGTAGTTACAACGCCTACTGAATAAAAAATTGTTAATTTTGTAGATTGCCGCCTCCCCGCCTGGCTTTCATGCATCGAGAGTAGAATATACCGGCCGTGTCACGCTGTTACTTCGTTCGCACTGCCGCACTCTTCTTGTCGCAGTTTTGGTCGATGAATGATACTATTTGTCACTATCTCATTTGTCATTTGCAGAAAACGTCCGAGATTTTGCGCAGTCCCATTCACTTTGCGCAGATACCTAACCGTTAGACTTAATTACATCAGTATGCATCTGAATGGATGAGAGTATCCATCAGACCTCTGTCGACTGTATAAGTAGAAAGGGGGCGAGTGCAGACGAAGGATCAGTCTCCCGAAATATACTTGCAGAGAGGCACGGTAGTGGTTTTGCTGACGGTATGCATAATGTCAAGAGTCCATGATAGAGACTCTATAATATGGACTCTCTATGATATAGAGACTCTCTATTGTAGACTCTTGATAATATCAAGAGCTAATAATACCTAATATACCTAATATAATAAGGTATTATTAGCTCTTGATAATATCGATGCGTACGTCAATACATAGTTATAAAAACAAAGAGTTGAATTGCTGCTATACTATTATCATCACCAGCACCATCACAATCAGCACTATCCGCACCAACATCATCCTCACCTGCAACGATAATCAACAAGAACAACAACAACAACAACAACAACAACAACAACAACAACAACAACAGAGCAGCAGTAGTAGCATTAGAAGCGGAAGGAGGAGGAGGAGGGGGAGAAAAAGAAAACGATGAAGATGAGCACTGTAGTCAACACGATTGTTGTAGTCTATATACATGAATCCATATATAGCTCACCTCATCGCACATTGACAGCATCCGCCTTGTGCTGTCCAGCGACTGCAAGAGAAAAAAAGATAACAGTCATTACCACATCACCGTCAATGAATGAACAACGCACAGCAGTAGAGCAGAAACAGTAGTAGTAGCAGCAGCAGCAGCAGCAGCAGCAGCATCATCATCGGCTGCAGCACCAGCAGCACTGATATACGGCAGATTAGAACTCGGCGTGCCTAATCAACCCCTCCCCTTCCCCCCGCAAATATAAGGACTACGCGAAGATTCGAACTCGTCAAGGTCATAATCGCAGACGGACTCCGTGGCGGAGACTACGATCGTCGGCAGACGTCGCGATTTGGCGACGATGCGACACTTGTCGGCGCATGCCCGCGTGCGAAACTAGCCGCATGTCTAGATCTGCCGCACCGCTGATCACGACGTTTCAATTGCATACACCGGCGAGAGGTGAAGCGCGATTTCAGCGACTCGTCATCGAGCTTAGCCAGGCTCCTCGCGTTCGTTCGGCGTCTATATACAATAAATACAGAGCAGCAGCAGCAGCAGCAGCAGCAGCAGCAGCAGCAACAGCAGCCGCCGCCATGCATGCACGCACACACGCACGCACGCACGCGGGCGTATTGCTTACGAAGACATTTGCAGAGCATCGCTTAATCCGATTTTCGCTAATTTTGCATCGAATGACGCATTTTCGTATAAGCGCGGCAAGCGAGCCGCCTAAGGACAAACTGCCGACAATGTAGCACTGTACGCGTCGACCGCAGTGTCGGCTTTAACCAAACGGAAAACTGATGATAATGAGAACCGTCTTTCTCTTCAGTTTTCCAGCGACTTTCAAAAAAATTCGTCATGTTAAGTATGCTAGGGGCATTTTTGTCCTTAAATGAACAGATTGTCTGCATTGTAATCTTACACATACATTAATATTATCAAGTCCATAGTAGGGAATATTTTCTTTGATATTATCTAGACAGAATTACCTACAACTTACACGTACTGTTATTTGGTACCAAAAAGTGACGATGAAAACTGTCTTGTGATGACAAAACTTAAAATCTACCGTACATATATATACAATATTCAGAGGCAGACCATTCTGCCTTTGATGCGTTCCCCCAGAATTGGGTTATTCTCTCAATTCCTTTCACGATCTGTGTTCACTCCAAGATGAGCTCATTCCCATGGAGCTGCCTGCAGTGACCGATTGAATCCGCTTGGTTTATGACGTCTGCTACGGCCGTCTAATTAGCTTTGTGTGTAAACCAAACATCACTTGCGTCATCGCGACTTTCCAATTACGTCATCAATACAACGCTTTAGCATCACGAGCAACAATCTGCACAATCTTATAAGATTTCATCATTTTACGGGATTTTATTATTAACATTTATATCATAACCGGTTTATTAATACATATATATATATATATATTACCACAGTACACTCGACACGCTTGTGTGCAGCGCATATACAAAATTGTACTACACGATAATATATGTACACTGCCTGAAAAAGAATCTGACGTCGCAAAGTGACGCGAATATTTTTTCCAAAAAAGTACATACGAGTACAACCTTCGAGACGAATGGTACAAACAGCATATTTTCCTTGATGTTTCTTAAAACACATTCAACGCTGCCGGTGTTAACAATGCACCTACCGCCCTGCGCTGGGATTTTCGCGTTTTTACCTCGTATTCACTTATTGATTTACCACATTTCCTTTGCAGGAAAGCTAAGTAAACTGACACATTTACTCTGCATGGATGTTATCTCACCCGTACACGTTCAAATATTATGGAAATCGTTCCCCTTCATAATAATATTGATATGAAAACAGGGCAAAAACGGACATTTCGTGCATTTTCGCCTCAAATGCCACCACACGAATGGATTTTCGAGTTTTGTTACGATAATATTCGACAGTATACTATTTTTTCCGGTAAGAAATATGACAACGCTTACACATGTGTGGGGTATGAACCTTGTTTTGTGTTTCTCCATGCAAAAATACCTCGAAATTTTACATACTACACAGTTATTATATTATATACCGTTAGGAAAACGGTAAACAAACCTTGTTGAACGGACTTTAGCCCCGAATTTACCTTGAGTTTCAAAACTCGTAATTTCATGTTCGAATCAACGGTAAAGCTTTGTACTCGTTAGTTCATGTAAGAAAACTGCCCCTGTTTAATTTCTAGGTAGGTAGTGCCTGCCATTTGTTGGAAATCAGAGAAACAACAAGTGCCGCAGTGCGACAGGGCTCATCTGGTGTCTGGTGTTCTGCTGATAAATTCATTTGTGCATAGCAAGACGTTTTATACATATCTTCTTTATTCTTGTTTGACTTTTGTAGCCAATTGGAACAAATATATCAGCTACACTTTCGCACCCACCTAATCTCTATGCATTGCAGACACATGTGCCTGAGGTATTGCGCAGCCCACAACTATTCGGAAGACGTGCCAGCACAGGCTGCCCCGTCGTTTATTGCCTACGACACCCGAGCATTCACTGATTTAGCCTTCAGGGTGCTATAGACAGACTGCTTTAGAACATAATATGATTTAAGAGCGTAAACCTTGTTCAACCAACATTTGCCTTTGCATAAACTGTGCAACTGTAACCTCACATTCACACAGGTATGGGCTCTAATAATAGCAAAAGCAGTTCAGTCTGTTAACAGTCAACAAATCAATGTTTAACCCTCCTCTTAGAGGCAAAGGGTTATCCAACAACTACTCTTCGCATGTCAGCGGAAAGTACATTTTCATGGTCCCTTTCATAAAGCACTCAGAAAGGTAGGTCACACGCTGAAACAAAAAAGTTTTCATCGCTCCGTCAACACATGTCCTCAGAACATGTCTAAATCTGCCCCTGTGCGCCCATTGACCTTTGACCTGTGACCTCCAATTTCGGCACAGTGATGGCTTTTCTACTAATGATGCTGTGCAGCGACTATCACGAGCATAGTCGACGCCAGTTATTAGATTATGCCGCAATTGTAACTGCATTCCTCCCTATACCTAAGTAGAGGAAATGTTCCCTCTTCCTTTTACATTTGATAAAACCTTTGGCCTTGACCCCCGCTTCGGACATACCCAACTGTTTTCGGATCCCCCCGCGCCCATGTCCGAATTCGTGAACGTACGTCGAAGCGGTTTAGATTTTGTGCCCAACTGTTGAGCATCAGGCACGGCCGAACGGCCGGGAGACAACGACGCACGGACGGACGCCACGCTCAATCGATTCTACAGAGCGCATTCTGACTATGTCCAGAATGAGCATAAAAACGAACAATCTACCACGACTGACTCTGATCCCGGGGTGCGTTTTGATTGTTCCCACGAGCTGACTCGTGGATCCGCGGGGAACGTGTTAAAAAAGAATGTGACCCGACAGCCAATAAACTGATTCGTTACGGGCTCTTGCTGAGACGTATAATGTCGTCAATAATAAATAACTGCGCGTATACACAGCTTTCTGCCTCTATCTGAAGACTCAGCGGGAGGCGAATTACGCGTGAGGCGATAGAGCCGCCATGATACACACTATTACAGCTTCCTTCTGCAAGCGTAGCATTAACCTACGCTTATATTTATTATAGTAGTAGTAGTAGTAGTAGTAGTAGTAGTAGTAGTGGTTCTAGACTGGCACAGCATGTCCATTCCTGAATTCAAGTTACCATGTAAAAGTGCAAGAACAGGGAGAGGGTCTCGCGAGAAACAAGTGGCATCAACACGTAACCGCGTCAACACGATGTAAACAAACATTTTTGTGTGAAAATAATGACCTATACGAATGTTCTGAGACATTTTAGCCCTACTTTAGGCACTTTTGTTATTTAGACTTTTCTGTTACGCAAGCAATACCAGTAAGTTTTAGATATATTTGAATTATGACTGGTTTAAAGACACATACCCACGAAAGTTGCTTTTTGCGTAACTCATCGCGTGTAGTAAGAAAACTCCTGTATAAATAATAAATATAAGCGTGGGCTAATGCTACGCTTGCGGAAGGAAGCTGTAAAAGTGAATATTAATATCATAGTCGGAAAAAAACGAGACCTGACAGTCAGGAATCCCTGCTTTAACAGGGGAGCGGGGGCCTGACGCACATCTTCTCCCACTGACCCAGATTTGATGAGCTGACACAGACGACTACACGTGGCAGACGAGAAGTCGGCGACGTCCTTGCCATAGCTCATAAGTTGGCTATTCATTCGCGGCGACTTGGCGGCCAAGGTCCGGCGTAGCCGCATTCTAGGCACGCCTCACGTGCGCCTGTCATGCAATTCCCCACCGCAGCACGGTGATTAGCTCTATACTTTCACAATAGTGTGCTTCTAATCATAAGAGGCAGTTAGCGTGACCATATACATATATATATATATATATAACCACATCATGTGAGCAGATAATTGGCAGTTACTGTAGTGAGAGCCCTGCGTGAAAAAGAACGACTGCACCAGAATATATATATATATATATATATATATATATATACCAGGAGATATACGTATATAATACGTTATGTACACACGATATACACGATGTACAAATATTATTATCAAATAACCTTCATTATATAGGTCCATCTAATGATGAGAGTTATTACATGCCACCCGGACCTTTAGTTAATCTGACGACAGAACAGCTAATATCATGACCTGCGTTTCCTTCCGTCCACGCGTCCGTTATAGCAATAGCGACAGCACATATAAACGGCTTCACACACACACACACACACACACACACACACACACACACACACACACACACACACACACACACAGTAGCCGCCTCTACCTCACACATACACACGTACTGCAATCGCGCTCGTAAACAAACACGGACCGCTCCTTGTTTTTCTTCCCGCGTGATCATGTCATTGATTATAGGGAGTAGAAAAAAATTGTGAAAACTGGACGCATCTGTGCGTCTCTCTCTCTCTCTCTCTCTCTCTCTCTCTCTCTCTCTCTCTCTCTCATCCTTCCGCTCTCTTTCCCTTCGCTTCTTTCTATCTCGTTCTCTTT